TGTGATTTTGCTATGCCTAAAGTGGAATATTTGGGACATTTTATATCAGGAGCTGGAGTTGAAACTGATCCTAAAAAGGTGGAAGCAATAACTAAATGGCCAATACCTAAATCAGTGAAGCAGTTGAGGAGTTTCCTGGGTTTAGCTGGCTATTACAGAAAGTTTGTTAGGTTTTATGGTATTATAAGCAAACCATTAACTAACTTACTAAAGAAGGGAGCTTATTCGTGGACTAAGGATGCACAGAATGCTTTTGAAAAGCTGAAGTTGGCTTTGAGTACTGCTCCTGTTCTTAGTCTTCCAGATTTTTCTAAAGTCTTTGTGGTAGAGACTGATGCATCCAATGAAGGTATTGGTGCAGTATTAATGCAATAAAATCACCCTTTAGCCTTCATAAGCAGATTTTTGGGAGCTAAATGGCAAAAACTATCTGTTTATGAGAAGGAATTATTGGCTATTGTCTTTGCTGTGCAGAAGTGGGAGCAATATTTGAGTTTCCAACATTTTATTATCAAAACAGACCAAAAGAGCCTCAAATGGTTGTTGGAACAGAAAATCTCTACTCCATTTCAACAATTTTGGTTATCTAAGCTCATGGGCTTTGATTATGAAATTCAATACAAGAGTGGCAAGGAAAATGTAGTGGCTGATGCTCTATCTAGAGTGCAAGGATCTGAGATAGAATGTTTAGCTATTTCTATGATAAATTCAGATTTGGAACAGTTAATCAGAAACAGTTATATTCATGATGCTCATGTATCTTCTGTACTGGATTTGATCAGGCAAAATCAACCATCAGGAAAGTATTCCATTCTTAATGGGCTATTAAGAAGAAAGGGAAAGATTGTGATTGGGAATGACAGTACCTTAAAAAATCAGATCTTTACTTGGCATCATTCTTCAGGGGAAGCAGGGCATTCTGGTAGGGATGCAACTGTGAAAAGAATTAAAGCAGTGTTTTATTGGAAGGGTCTAAATAAGGAAGTGAGCAATTATGTGAAACAATGTGTGGTTTGTCAGGCAAACAAACATGAGAATGTAGCTTATCCGGGGTTGCTACAGCCATTACCTATCCCAGATGAAGTATGGATTGATATTTCATTAGATTTTATCACTGGATTACCTAAGTCACAAGGAAAAGAGGTAATTCTGGTTGTGGTGGACAGATTGAGTAAAGGGGCTCACTTTGTAGCATTATCTCATCCATTTACTGCTATTGAAGTAGCTCAGGCTTATTTAGACAATGTTTTCAAGCTTCATGGTTGGCCTAAGAGTATTGTGAGTGATAGGGATGCCATTTTCTTGAGCCAGTTTTGGAAGGGTTTGTTTTCTTTACAGGGAACAAATTTCAATTTATCTTCTGCTTACCATCCGCAAACTGATGGTCAAACAGAAATAGTGAACAAATGTTTGGAAGTATATTTGAGATGCATGTGCTGTGATAATCCTAGAGAATGGAGCTTATGGTTACCGTTAGCTGAATGGTGGTTTAATACTCATTACCAGACTTCTGCAGGAATGACTCCTTATGAAATCATCTATAATCAACCTCCTCCATTATATCTGCCTTATTTGCCAGGAGAATCCAAAGTAGAGGCTGTGGATAGATCAATGCAAATGAGGGAAGAAATGATCAGAAAGCTTAAGGAGAATCTTAATAAGGCTCAAACAAGAATGAAACAAATGGCAGATAAAAGAAGATGTGACAGAGTGTTTTCAACAGGTGATTGGGTGTGGTTAAAATTGCAGCCTTATAGACAGACTTCGGTGCAGCTAAGAACCAATCAGAAATTAGCATCTAAGTTCTTTGGTCCATTTCAAATCAAAGAAGTTATAGGAAAGGTGGCTTATAAGTTGAAACTTCCTGCAGAATCACAAATACATGATGTATTTCATGTTTCACAGTTGAAGAGATTCAGAGGTCAACTACCTATGGCTACTCATATACCGGATTGGTTTAAAGGGAAACAGGCAGAATGGATACCTCAACCAGAAAGGGTTTTGGGCAAAAGAAGTGTTAAATTTCAGGATAAGGTGCAAGTACAAATCCTAGTGCAATGGAAGGGGTTTGCAGCTGAGGAGGCATCTTGGGAATCTGTTCAGTCATTCAGGGATCTCTATCCGGACTTTGATATTAATGACTAAGCAGTGACTTGGGGACAAGTCAAGTTCTTTTAAGGGGGAAGGAATGTAATAGTAGTTTGACTTGGGCTTTGACTTAGCTAGTTAGTTGTTAGTTAAAGATACCGTTGCTTATTACAGTTAGGGAGGTTGTTAGCATTCGGGTATCTGAACTAGCTAAAAGCTTGTATAAATAACCATTGTTTGGATGAATAACAGTTCAGTTCATTTTCCAATCTATTCTATTACATACATTTCTTTGCTAATCATTAACAATGGAGTTAGGCTCTTGTTAATTGATCATAGTGTAGACAGTTGAATGCCACATCCGTTACAGACTGCAGATAACCTATCCCTTCAAAGAGCTATATGGCAAAGAGTAATGAGAGAATCAAGAATATCAGTCCAAATCGGTGCACCGGCCAGCTCTTGGCATTGATTTTTTTAAAGAATTTAGTTTCGTTTTAACTTTATTTTAGTCATTTGTATTGATAGAGATCTTCTGGGTTTGGAATTCTGATGGATTGTTGTCTTAGTGATTGGATTTTGTTTTTTTTGAAATCAATATGATGTTAATTTTGTATAATTTGTTACTACGTATATACTTTTGTATGTTGTATCCATCCACCACAGTTTTAAAAGTGAAGGAACACGTAGATGAGAGGAAATTAAAATGAGATGGAATTAAAAATTAAACAAACTGGCAAGGATCTAAAACAATAGACGTTACATTTGTAGGGATGATTATCAAACGGGTTAATTTGTACACGTATCAATTGAGGTGGAATTAGAAATTCAACACTTGTTGATGTGTAAATGACAGGTGAGCATTTTAAGGACAGTTGATAGAGATCTACCTATTAGACTAATAAATAGAAGAGTTAGTTGTACTTATATTTCGGTTATTAAATAATAACTAGAGTAGGCTGTATGGGAAGTCTATAAATAGAATTAGTCTGGGAAGGGGAGGCAGGTTGTTTTGACTTTTTTAGAATGTGAAAGTTAGAGATTAATCGTCTCTTTCTTTTGGGGGCTTCGGCCAAAACTCTTCTTCATCAATAAAGTTTACAGTTCTTGTTCTTGATATTTCTTGATAATTTTCTGTAAATCCTCTCAATACCTAGATAGCTCTAACAGTGGTATCAGAGCGCGTCTGTCGCTGGATGAAATACACTCGTACTAAGATGGAAGGACGTATCACAGAGGTAGAAAGAAACTTCACAGATTTTGCAAGAAATCAGAAGGAGTTAGCAGCGAGGCAAAATTTCCCTATACCATATGTGTATCTATACTTGAAATAGCAGCAGGTTCTGCACCATTCCTGTCATTGTGTGCACATATCAAGTCTGGATTACAGGACTCCCACTGGAAAACTTCTTTTAAGAACTCTGAAATGGAATCTACCATTGATGTCGATCAGTTAATCGATGTTCCTGCTGTTATTATCAGTCCAGGGGAATACTTCATGTCAGATACTACAACTTCAAGGAGTGGAGCAACAGAAATTGAAAAGGTTTGGGGACTGTCAACAGTGGGTATTATTGTGCTAGATGGAGGTTGATAGAGAGCGGGAAGAGCATGGGGTGGGACCGGGCTTGGGCCCACTTTCGTGGGCCGAGTTAGGGCTGTCGTTATACTTTAATTATTATTATTAAGTTAATGTTATGTTTTAGTTTGGGCCTATTATTAGTAGAGTAGTTAGTTGAGTTAATTTGGGCTTAATTAGGGTTTAATTAATATGGGCTTGATTAGGGTTTCTTGTAGAAGGCTATTTATACCCCTCGCCAGGGTTCATTCTTATTATCTTGGAATAAAGATAGAGTTTAGCCTTTTGGCTTTGGGCAACAATATTTTTATTAAAGACTCAAACTTCATCTTTCTCAACAATTATGCTTTTCTTTTTTGTTTTTTTCGAAATTATATTTTTTTATCAATACCAATATGATACAATCAATACAAGTTTGTAAACTTAGAACTAAAAGTAGTGAAAAAATATAAAATATAAATATGATTTTCTTCTTAAGTTTTACTAATTCATCTATTGAAAGTGTAATTGTTAGAAAATTGAAGTTTGAGTCTTTTTATAATTAAAGTGAAAGTATAAGATAAATTTGAGAATTTGACGATAGTTGAGGATATATTTATCTAATTATCCAATGGTAAATAAAACCATTTGTAAAAGATTCATAACTGGACCATAGCTAAGTAAAATAAAATTCCACCCAAAATTTGAAATAATAATAATGTAATCGATATTTTTTCAGCCCATTTTATGCAAGAATAGTTGTAGTAGGGTCTCGAAAGTAACAAGTCAACCTGAGTTGAAGTTTGTGATATGTGACGAAAAAGGACAATCAATCAAGTCTACATTGAATGTTAAATTTAGTTAGTTGTTGTTTTCCTCGACATTTAGTTTCATGGACATACATGCAAACGTTTCATCATATGATGATTTATAATTAACTAATGAGTTTTTTTATTTAATTTCTGAATTCAATATGCCTTCATATTCTATTTAATATTTTTAGGTAATTGATTAACGATCAAGTTGTTTTTCAACCTTTTTATATACAATCTATCTAATAAATTTATGTATAGATATTTCACTCCTGTTCAACGCACAGGTGGTGTTAGTAGTTGCCCTTTATGCCAAAAGTCCAAAACAAGTTAGAACATGATTGTTTATCATGCCTTGATTTTAATTAGTCCAAGTACATTATGAAATAATTGAGTGGCCACATCCATTCTTGAATTCTATATAAAGAAATGATATCCACACACATTTAAACACTTTATTGTGTATGCTTAGCCAGAAAATAGTGATCACAATAACTATAATGATATAATTGTAACATTTACATGTTTACAAAATCTTGTCCGGCCCCAACTTTTAAAATTATCATAGTATTTACATCACAACACTTTTTGGACAATGCTAAGCCTAACTTACCCTGATCCAGAGAGCTTAGGAAGGGGAGGTGGAGGTGAAGCCAAGCTTATTAGAAAGTTTAGTTCGAGTTAATGGAGAAAAAAGTTGCATTTGATTATGAACAAATTGCACATCATGAATCAATGGGTTATCTGTCCGGCCGGGTGGTGAGCCAGAGTAACACAACGTTGTTGAATATGTGACATCTCTTATCTACACGATTTCAACAAGTTCATATTAGCAACCACACAGAATAACATCATAGGGTAATCACACTTAATTATCTAAACTCTTTTGTATGTGATGGGTCTCACATCCTCAACGGCGGGACCCGTGGTTATTTGACGGCTTGACATCTGATTTAGAGCATCTCCGATGTCAAGATGCACATAGTGTATACATGATGTGAGGGAGATACGCACATCAAAATTCATCAATAAAATTTCTCTTTCTTTATTTTCACGGTTTTCTATACTTCTTGTTGCTTTTTGTCAATAATATCAACACCGCAATGTTTATATTTAGTTGGTGTGCATGATAATATGAAGAAAAACATATCGAAAAGTAGAAAATCATTCAAATAAGAAGAGATACATGTACATCATTGATCAATTTATATGCACCACTCACATTTTTACATTGGAGATGCTCTTATGGTCTCATCCATGTGCAGAGGTAGAGGGCCATACTAGGCTTCTAGTGATCCAAGTTATTAAAAAATACTAAGTATTTAAATGTTATCGTAAAAAGTCTATATTAAATTTTTTCAAAAAAAAAAACTTTGTACCGCCATATTATATATTCTGATTTGGGTCTTGACTAAGCCACAGTGGCATTTCAAGTGATATGACATATGTATACCGGCATATTATTTACTACCGGTTTTTATTTAGGACAATTGTAATTTGTGGTTATTAAGGTTGACTAGTGATAAAGTTAAATTATCCACTCGGATTATTAAATTAATTTTAGGGAAAATCGTACTTTTAGTCTCTGGAATAGTCATCATATTGAAATGTCAGATCCGTATTTCTGAGATTTACATGTCACCTCTCAATTGTCCAATTTGCTGTAAATGTGATCATTTCAGGGATGAAATGTACTCCTCGCCCACATTATACTTTTCACCCTCAAAAGACCACATTTACATCAATTTGGACAATTGATGGGTGACATTTACAAATTGGGAGAATACATGTCTAACATTTCAATATGGTAATTATTTCAGGGACTAAAATTACGATTTTTCCTTAATTTTAAATATTAAAATTTCTATGAAGCCATGAATTCCAGATTAGAGTGTAATAAATTGATTTTGGGAGTATTGATCGAGAAGCATAATTGACACATACACACTGGTGGGGATAAAGAAGGCAAGTCAAAGGCACCCCACATTTTTTGTGGTGTAGAAATATTTACACTATAAAAAGAGGAAATTTTGCGCCTCACAATATAAAGCTTTCGATTTATACGATACTTCAATCTTCACCATTGTATGGCCTTGTTTGGTAAATGGTTGTCAGCTGTTGCTGGTAGCTGGTTGTGTCAGCTATTTCGCAACAGCTGGTTGTGTTAGCTGTTTTGACCGACTGGTTATGTTGGCTGATTATAAATAACTGTTTGGTAAAATTGGCTCTTTCGAAATGGTTGATAGAGTGTAAATTGAACCAGCCAAATGAAGAAGCTGCTCCCCTTAGCTTCTTCCACAATCCATTTTTTCAGCTTTTCAAACTCAACAAGCTAATTTTAAAAGTCATTTACCAAACATTATTATTAGCTTCTTTGACTTATCAAACAGTTGAAATGGGTCAAACAAGCTAAAAGTTGGCTGATAAGCCATTTGCCAAACATACCCTATATGTATTTTATGATTATTAATTTAGTAAAACTTTGGGCCCAATTCATCTAAGACTTTTGGCTGAGAGTTAAGATAGAGAACTTGGAGTTGATAGCAATATTAGGATTTCAAACTGACCTTTTGGTGGTCACCAATTATGTTGAGAACTTCACTTCTGCTCCCATCAATGTTCATTTGGCTGACCAATTTACAAACACCAAGTAAGTGTGTAAGTGTAACCATTGCAGTTCAAAAGAAATAACGGTGCTTAAGTGCTTGTTTGGCTCACTCATGTCAAATAAAAACACAAAAAAATGATAAAGTTTCAATTGTTTTTTCTTTCAAATTCTACAATTTTGGGTGGATTCAGGATTAAATTACTAACGGTTCAAAGAAACATGTCTAAACTATACAAAGTAAATTCAGGAATAGTCACAAAAGATCGATGTAGTGAGGAATTATGTACGTACCTGTGTTTGCTACAACTTAGGGGTTGGAGGAACTCGGGGTGGGTTGAGACGAGCCGCCGCGGTTTAGGGCAGAGTGGGAACTCATTACTTCCATGGTTAAGCATGATTATTGTTTGATAATGTAGTGTAGCTTCCTATTATTATATATTGCTATTCCCTTTTCATAAGTATTGATGCAATTGGATTTGGTAATTAAATGAACATATACTTATTTATAGTTTTACCACACCAGATGGTAAATGGACAGTGTGCTATCACTACATGCATAAATGTGAACCACAAATCTATGTGAGACATAGAGAATTTGAGTGAGTATGAAGAGATTATTAGTTATGAGTTATAGTGGCTGTGAGAAGTGTAAATGCCAAATGTTAGGTAGAGAACAATTGTAGGGCTTGTGTTGACCTGAACTTTGTCTTTCAATTCTCTTAGGACACTCTATTGAATTTGTTTTGGAACCACTCAATATTGCATGTGCATAATGATCACATATAGGGAGAATCTAGCATTAACTAGAATTGGGTATTTTGGGTTGTTCCACTCCCTTCTTTTGTCCATCTTCCATTATAGTGAATGATGATCAAGGAAAAATGGTTCACTAAAGGTTTTTATTTCATTTTAGTCCCTCAATTGTTTAACATTAGGAAAATTTAACCCCTAATTAATAGGATATTTGTAATATGTCATAGTAAAGAAGTTTTTCAAACTTTTCGGAAGAGAATTACTTCTCTAATTGAAACATGGTCCTCGACATCATATCATCATGGGTTAGTATTAAGATTTACGGCCTATTTGGACATGGTGCACATGAGTGTAAGTGATGAAAGTGTAATGAAGATTTAATAATGGATCGATCAAAATGAAGAAGGAACTATACTTTTTGCTCACAATCCAGTTTTTTTAGGAAAACTCTATATTATAGCTTTGAATCTTTGACCACAAAAGATATTCAATAACCCAAACTTGGATAACATATATATAAAAAGATCGTAGGTTAAGTTCTTCTTAAAGTAATTTTAATATGTTTATCAAGTTTAACCTTTATCCAAATAAACCTTGCTACTCTAACTTGAAGTAACCTAATACGAAGTACTAATACTTCGTATATCATCTATATCCCAAAAGCAACATCTCACTTTTCGATATCCCAAAGTAAACTACTTATTTCAATGAAAAAATGATAGTAAATGTCATAATTACCTCATTTTTACTCACTTTCTACTTGATTTGAATTAAAAATTCGAAAAAAATAATTATCTTGCATGAATTTGTTTGTAGGGTAATGCTTATTTTGCCTTTGGTTTTGAGAAGAAAGGAAGAATGGTCAAATAAGTCATTTCTCTATATAAAAAAGTCAACTAACTTCACATGTTGTAAAATTGATTTCTCGAACACTCAAACAACTAAAAAATGCTCAATTGGTTAGTTCAGTCACTAAGGAATTAGTTTGAGTGTCCATGTGGTGACCCACTTATATCACGCCGGATAAATAAAATTAGAACAAAGTATTTGAGCCATATCTGAGCATGTTTGGCATTTAGCGCCTTAGCGGTTAACAATTAACAGTTAGCGGATAGCGATTATGTTAGCAAGTTCTGTATATCGGATTCAGTCAACAGATTTGATTAGCGAAATAAGTTGGCAGGTTATCAAAAGATGTGTAGTAATTTAGCTGTTTGGCCATAAAATTAGTTGAAAACGTTATATTTCAGAACACTAATCCAAACTCTCTTATTTGCAGCGTTTTCATTTTAACTCTTTCGTCTCAAACACTAGTGCCGAACGATTATTTACAAAAATAACTTTATCAAGTAAAAAACTCATTTGTCTGACCGAAGTACTCTTCTCAAGAAAACAGCTTCCTTTTTTATAGGCTTCGCAATAAATTCAGGATGGGGAAGATGGAAACTTAAGCACAAACTACAAAGTGTAGGCGGCGGCAATGGAGACCGCATCTGTTCGCCAATGCTTTGTGTTTAAAGCCTTATCAACAATAACTTTAGAGACCATGTGTAGAGGGCTGATATAGCTGCTTAACCGTTGCTTACTTGATCTGTTAGAGGTAGTTAGTTATAATCAGTTTTGACTTAGTTTGTTGAGTCAACTATAACTACTACTATAAATGTACAGCTGAACAAATTCAATATCATCGAATAATATTCATTTCTTCCAATCATTACAAATTCCATTCTCTATTTCTATTTCATATGAGCTATGTCAGTACTCTCAAAGATCTCCTTCTCCACAATCTGAGCATCTTCCTGCGTCCTGCATCATTGGTATTATAGCTTCAACGAACCTGAAGTAATCTGCTGGCTATTACGTTCAATTGAAGATTAAGAATCAGGCACCCTCAAAGTCTACCACAGTTCATCAACTCAAGAATATAATGGAGGATCGAATCGATAATCTGGAGAAAAAGTTAGAAGAATAGTCTTCTGTTCTGGTGGAAATTATGAAACACTTGAAGGATCACGAAAAGAAGAAAAGCATCCAAGTGGATGAGGATGCCGATACTTCTTTATGACCAGGTATTCACAACCAAATTACTCACAAGCCTTCAGGATACACTCCTAAGCTGGAATTTCCTACTTTTGACGGTTGTAACCCTAGAATTTGGATGAAAAAATGTCAAAAATATTTCAAGTTGTGTAAAGTTCCTGTTGATCATAAGGTTGATTTGGAAAGCATGTATTTCATGGGGAAGGCAGAGTCATGGTTTCATAACTATCTGGCAGTTAAAAAATATGTGGAATGGGATGAATTGGTTGTGGATATATGTGCTCGTTTCAGAGAAGATATAGGAAGCAATGTGGTGGAGGAATTTAATAAAATGACTCAAACAGGATCTATTGATGATTACCTAGATTCTTTTGAGAATTTGAGATCTTTGATGGTTCAGAGAAACCCTCTACTGCCTGATCAACACTTCCTAGACAGTTTTATTGGTGGTTTACAACCTCTATTGAAGTCCTTTGTAAAAGCTTTTAAACCTAACACGTTGATGGAAGCTGTGAAATATGCTAGACTTCAAGAAGAAGCTCAGAGTGCTTCCAAACAAACAGTTAAACCACTCTTTCAAAATAAGCCATCAAACAAACCACTATTACCTACTCCCAAGATACCACAATTACCTTCCCATAATAGACCTCTTTCTGCTCCCATTCCTTCCCAAAATTGCAATCATGTGGCTGCAGCAACCAGAGCAGAAAAGATAGCTAAAGGTCTATGTTATTTCTGTGATGCCCCTTATGACAGAAATCACATATGCCAATTCAGGAAAACTCAACTTTTTACAGTTGAAGTACCAGGGATATAAGAAGATTTGGTAAGGGAAGAAGATACAGAAGAAGAGGAATGCCTGGACACGGGGTTTGAAATGTCAGAAAATGCACCTTGCATTTCTGTGAATGCCTTGGCTGGAACGCAAGGTTTTCAAACCATGAGAGTGACAGGCTACTTTAATAAAAAGCCAAAACATATTTTTATTGATTCTGGAAGTACTCATAACTTCCTTGATCAAGATTTGGCAAAGAAATTGGGTTGTAAATTGGAATCAATAAAGCCTCAAGCAGTTTCAGTAGCTGATGGAAACTTCTTGCCATGTCAATTCAAATGTATTGGGTTTTCTTGGAAGCTGCAAAACACTTTATTCTCTTCTGATGTGGTGTTAATTTTTTTGAAGGGATGTGATATGGTGCTAGGAATTCAATGGCTTTGCACTTTGGGAACTGTTAGATGGAATTTTAAACATCTTAAAATGAAGTTCACATTTGATAACCAATTACATGTGTTAAGAGGAATAGTTCCCAAGAAACTTAAGGCTGCAGCTACAAAAACAGTAATCAAGGATGTAGCTCAGATCTTCTTGTTACAAGTTGGAGAGCAAAACCAAAAGCAGCACCAAGCAATTTCTTGTTGCTCACTGCAACAACCAACTGAGAAACCACCTGCATTGAGTGCCCTTATTGAAGAATATGCCTCAATTTTGGAAGAACCTACTGGCGTACCTCCTTGTAGGGGAGTATTTGACCACATAATTCCATTATTGGAAGGATTACAAACTGTACACATAAGACCTTACAGGTACTCTCTACAGTAGAAGGATATTATTGAACACTTAGTTCAAGAAATGGAAGAAAGAGGAATTATACAAAAAAGCTCCAGCCCCTTTGCTTCACCTGTAGTCTTGATTGGTAAAAAGGATGGATCATGGAGATTTTGTGTGGACTATAGGGAACTTAACAAAAGGACGGTTAAAGATAAGTTTCCCATTCCAGTTGTAGATGAACTGATTGATGAATTGGCTGGTTCTAGGGTGTTTACCAAACTGGATTTGAGAGTTGGGTATCATCAACTCAGAGTTCATCTCTCAGATGTTTATAAGACTGCTTTCAAGACACATTCAGGCCATTATGGGGTTTTAGTGATGCCTTTTGGCCTTACCAATGCCCCTGCATCATTCCAAGGATGGATGAATGAAATTTTTAGGCCTCTATTAAGGAAATGTGTTCTGATATTCTTTGATGATATTCTCATATATAGCCAATCCCTAGATGAGCATATTACACATTTGAAGGTTGTTTTTGACATTATGAAGAATAATCAGTTGTGTATCAAGGAGAGCAAGTGTGCTTTTGCAATGGACAAGGTGGAATATTTGGGTCACTTCATATCTGGGACAGGAGTTGAGACTGATTCAATCAAGATTTCAGCTGTTCGGAATTGGCCTCCCCCTAAAAATGTTAGAGAATTAAGAAGTTTCCTTGGCTTAGCTGGTTATTATATAAAATTTGTTAAAAACTATGCCATTATCAGTCAACCTTTAACCCAGCTTTGGAAGAAAGGAGAATTCAATTGGACTGAAAAGGCTCAAGAAGCATTTGAACTGTTGAAGCAAACGTTGGTAAAGGCTCCAGTTTTAGCAGTGCCAGACTTCACCAAGGTGTTTGTGGTGGAGACAGATACTTCCAACTATGGGATTGGTGTTGTACTAATGCAAGAAGGTCATCCGTTGGATTATATTAGTTAGACCTTGGGACCAAAGTGGCAGAAATTGTGTGTATATGAGAAAGAATTACTAACCATAGTGTTTGCAGTCCAAAAATGGGAGCAGTAATTGTGTAATCAGCACTTTATTATACAAACTGATCAGAAAAGTCTGAAAT